ATGCGGAGGATCTTCCTATTAAAATTAAGAGCTCATATTTGGTGAGAATTATTTTAAGGTGTCTAGCAACCCATTTTTCTGTGGCACTTGAAGAAAAAAAAAGTCATTTTTTCGAGGCACCCTAATATATATATATATATATATATATGAATCACATGTAGAGAAAATTGGAAGAAAAAATAAGGAAACAATTATTTGAATTTATTGAAGTATTGTGTCAAGAAAAATATAATGGCGTTTAGTAGTTCTATCATTTCAAAAGTAGAAAGACTTTAATTAGTTCAGTGGAATTTAATTAACTGACAAGTACGCGACCAAGAAGCTGTGAAATTTAAGCTTTGAAGAGAGAAGAGTCTTTGTTTACTTCGAAGAATCTTAGAATCGTAAGGAGAAGACAGTACCGATAATTGTACGATTCAAATGAATAACAATGTTGCTGTTCGTCAAAGTTGCCATTAAAATTTATTCGCGGAATTTCATTTTGGTCGTATACTTTGTTTCACAAAATTAGATTGTAGAAATAAACAAATTTATAAACTATATAATAGTCTATGTAAATTGGAAACGACTACTCTTTCGTCAAAAATTCCATTTAGACGACGGCTCGACCCATGTACACTGTGACCTAAAATTTATTTGAATAAATGAGATTCCAACAGAATGATAATTAAAATTTTGCAGCATCTATAAATTTGTATAAAGCTTTAACATCGACAAAACGATAATTAATCGTTAATATTTTTATATTCTCATTCATTCATCTATACTCATTATGATTATGATTATTATTATTATTATTATTATTATTATTATTATTATTATTATTATTATTATTGTTATTATAATTATTATTATTATTCAATCTAATGAAAATTTCATATACTAACTATACAGGACACGATATGTAGTCATTTTCCCATAGTAACAGTAGCAATTGTTCATTTCTATTTTATTTTTCTTTGAATAAATGATTAACAGATTAATGGTTTGCAGGAAAACTGAGGCAAAATTCTGGAAACAATATTCTCGAGGGTAACCAAGATATGTTAAAGGAACAAGGTATGTAAAAATAACAATTCTTATAAAAAATAACAAAATTACATACCTGTACAAATAATGCTGATCAATAATATAATAATAAAAATTGATAAAAAAAATATTTGTAGATCTGAAACTTCGTAGCCGGAACAAGAATGGTGATGTGACCGATGATTATGAAGATTCAAGCTCGACGAGGAAGAAAAGTTCAGTACTTTTATTAATAGTAACCATTACACTGATCTTGTGCCTGAACCATCGTCTACCATTTAGGACACTTAATCCTGCTTGAAAGTCATGTAACACAAATACCAATGGTCAGCAGCATAATAATATTATAGAACACTTATGGCGATTTTTCTTAAATCGTGTTGAAAACTTGGCGAATAATCTTGTCAAAATTTATCGCTCAGGGAGACTTTCATTCAAGATTGATGCTGACCATACGCAATCGCTTTGTATTATAATGTAATAATTTATAAGAATGTATAGGAAACGAAGAAACGAGTGTAACGATAATGGGTTGTAAGATGCACGAGAGATGTATTTTCTTGGTGAGTTTTTCAAGAACTCAATTTGTTGTTCTCACTTTTATCGAGATCTCGCAAAAGTTTATTCGTTAAAAAGGAAAAAAAAATGAGAGAAGGTTTTTCTGGAAGATAGGATCCTTCCCAACAACACAACAAGCTCCTCGACTTCCATCAGTTTCGTGTTTTTCTATGCTCGTCCTTTTTAAACAATCCTTCTTTATTTATTTTTTTCTTCTACTTCTTCTTCGTTTTTCTCTTTCTCTCTTTCGAAATTTCGAGAGACGATTCTTCAGAAAAATACAACACTCAATCGATAGCAGCATCAGCAGCTGGAGCATGGAAGGATGTTTGATCGGGGGAAGGATGTTATTATCTTTCGAAAAAAGAAAAAACCGGAAATTGTATATTCTAAAGTTCATTCTCGACTAAAATACAGCAGGTTCCTTGAAAGAAAGAAATTTTTATTATATCGTACGAGAGAATAAATTTAATAAAAGGAAGTACGTAATAGAATATTATTATTATTATTATTATTATTATTATTATAATTATTATTATTATTATTATTATTATTATTATTATTATTATTACGAATGATCTTAAATTATTCTAAATGAAGTTGTTTTTTCTCAATTTTTTCTTTAGAAAAAGATTAAAGAAAAAACCCAAGGAAAAGTAATCGGCTTTTAAGTGAAAAGAAAAGAAAAAAGAAACCATTTTAATGTAGTCTACGCATTTCAATTTCTCGACTGCAATATCAAAAGAAATACAACTGCCAGTGTAACTGTATTCTAATTATTTTAATTAATTAGTCGAATGGATAGCGTTATTACGCGGTGATATCATTGTAAGATTAAATAATGTTCAATTATAAGATCATTCATTTTATATGAAAGAACAAATATTGCGTCAGAATTTGAGTGAACGAAAATAAACAAAAATATGAATAATAATAATGACTTATAGAAAAAGATGTATTGTAAAGTGAACATTAAAAACAAAAGGACTATGGATTAATTTATCGAATTTTCGTGATAATTGATAAAAAAAAAAAAAAAATAATAAAAGCGATAAGCGTGAAATACATTGTGTATAGATCATATATAATAATGTATTAATTAGCGATTGTATACACGATACTCGAATTATACGAATCAACGCTTCTAATCTCCTACGAAAATCTAAGCCACATTAGTTTTATTTTCATCAAAATGAATAAGAGATTGTTCTCTCTAGTCCAGGGGTCGGCAACATGCGGCTCGCGAACCACATGCGGCTCTTTGGATGTGAAGCTGCGGCTCTTTAGTTAAAAGAGTTTAGAAAAAAAAAAACACACATTTCAAAATCGTTCTGAATCGATTAACGTGGATTAAGCACCGATGAATAGTTAGTTTAGTTTTTTTTTTTATCAAAAAACTTTATTTATGCGAGTACTATTTATTTTTGGCAATAAACAATTTTGTGGCTCTTTAAAAACTTCCGACTCAAAAAGTTGCCGACCCCTGCTCTAATCGATACAATTAAAGAAATATTAAAAGACTGTACGAGGGCATGCATATTTTATTTTATTTTATATTTTTTTTCTTCTTTTTTTTTTTTTTTTTAAATAAATGCGCCCTTTTTTTGAATCATTTCGATGCGACACACATAACATACACACACACACATACACGTACACAAGAAAAAAAAATGGATACAAGTGTTGTATATATTAGAATAAGTGAATATTGTCATAATCAACGTGAAAATGTGCTAATAATTTAGGAAAAAATGAGACGTTCTTTACGATGTGAGCCGTTTTGAAAATGGTACACTCTACTATTTATTTTTTTAATTATTTTTTCGTATATATATATAAAAGTTTTATTATTGAATATAATAAATTTGAAAAAAATATATCAAGAATCGTATTACAATAAATATGTACGATATATCAGAAATAACAAAACGGCTCATTCATATAGAATTGCTCGACAACGTGAACATTTTTCAACGTTTTGTATATAAATAAAATAAACACGAAATGCGTGTATATGTGGCTTGCGTGAGAAAGAAAGTAGTAAAACGAAACAGATTATTTCTGAATTTCGTATTGATATAATTATAATTATAATCTTATCGATTAAGTTAATTATTTGAAAATGATTTGTTTTCTAATCAATTAACATAACAGAAAATTTTGAAACAGTGTGCTTTAATGAGAATCAAGATGACTTATCGAACAATAAAAATGATATTGTTCGTTACGAAGAAGAAACGTTTGATACTGAATGCACGATGGAAATGAAACCAATAATTTGGTGCCATATATCTATGTATTCTCAATAAATTATTATATAGGTCATACATATTAATATAATTTTGTAGAGTATTGCGCGAATTATAAAATTCGATGGACTTGATTTTGTATTAAGTCTTAAAATAATCGGACAATAGTAAATGGGAAATGTATAGAAGAGAAACAAAGATAATTATGAAGAAGAAATTATATGTTTAAATGATTATACTAAAAAAATTGTGTATTTTTATTTTATTTAATGTTATATATGAATCATAAAAGCATATAGCACTTTCAAAAGTAATACAATTATTCATTTGTCTCGTCCATATATTCATAATATAATAATAAAGTGCTAAAACTGATAAAAATCGTTGCTAATGAACGGATAAAACACATATCAATTATCTGTGTTCCTCATTGAAACTGACTTGTATAGATACAAAGCCAGTGGTAAGTGTTATTTTTGTATAGGTGAAGAAATCTTGATAAGATTACTTTTACTGTCAATTTTGATCATCATTTTTCAACATTTAATCGAACGCCCACATTCTATTTTTGTTTTTTATAATCATCATCTAATCGAATGTATATTTAAATATCCTTTAGATTGTCGTAAAGCCATGATGTAAAGAAAAAATTTGAAAAAAAAAGCTAATGTCGCGAGTATCTATTTACTAATTAGTGTTTCAATTTGAATATAGGTTTTCATATAATATCTCTCTTATGAGAAAAATTGCAAATGATTATTTAATAATTTGTTGATCGATAGAACTACTTATGTCCAATGGAAATACCGAACCGATGTAAGAAGTGAAAGAATTTCTATGCAGAACACACATTACCTACTTTTGTATCATCGGCATTGTAGATAACATTGTAATCTGAACGAAGAAATAGTGTGCGTAATATATTGTAATGAGTAAATGTAAAATTTGTAATAAAGCTGAGTTGATACAAGTGCTTAAAAATAAAAAAGTAAAAAAAAAAAAGAAAAAAAAAGAAAGAAATAAGAACACGAAACTTAAGAAAAACAAAACAAATAAGTTTGAACATATATATATATATATATATATAACATGTTCCTTGTATAGATACTTGAGACGAATACTATCTTAATACATTATTTCATCGATGAACCTTTCTCCTTATCACGTTGAATGGCATGCAAAGTTTTTGATATGTTTTGCCGTAGAAACTACGATTATTAGAATACAAAATTATAAAAACAATTTAGTAACGTTGATCATCGAAAACCAACACGCAAAGCACCACGGACAAATTTGGTAACATTCAACGTGTTAAGAAAATATTCAACATCGAAGAGAGAAAATGTGAGAAATAAAAAAAAATGATTTAAGCTTTTCTTCAATCAATAAAAATATTAAAATTTGGTAATATAGAGAATATATCAGATTTTTAAATTGTTTTTTTAAAAACGCAATATTACGTCATATATGAAGAAAGTGATATAATCGTACAAAATATTCGTCAAACTTTAACATTCGATTTTTATTCATACTTCTTTCAACATTCACTCAAATAATTACTAACCATAAGTTACAGTACAACGAATAATGTATTATATTTCAAATTACTTCCGAAGTTAATTTTTTTGTCCCTTGTTAGCGTTCACAATTGATCTACTTTAAAAATCTCTCTGACGGTGTGCAAATTTTTGTTCCATATACAATTATAAAGCGGTAATAAAGCTCACTGGGTTCTTCTTCTTTTTCTTCTTTTTTTTTTTCTTAGGTTAATGTTTAAACAGTCGGCTTGCTACGACGACAAGTATGGCGGCAAAAAAAAATAATCAATTTTTAAAAAGATCACACACTATTATAAGTAGAGCGCGTTTCGGTCTATTTACAATTATTTACTTGCGTTTAAATGCATTTCGGATTTATTACACAAAAATTTCGATTATTACGAGACAATTTTATTTGCTGTTTTACCCCTTTTTTTCTTTCTTTCTTTTTCCTCTTTGTTATTTTGATATTTATATTTACAGTTAAACCTATCTACGAAAGGTTGTGAAACATACAACATCGTAGGATAAAACTGTCAACATTGTTGAATCGTCTTCGTGAAAATTCGAAGGTATTCTTTTTAATAAAAATCTTACTCTGAAAAGGGGACGTCACGTTAAATGTTTCTTTTATTTTTTTTTTATTTTTTTTTTATTGATAATTTTATCCTACGCACACACTCGCGCAAATCAATAATTTTATTTACAAAATTATGAATATATTCATTCAATTAACACCAGCGTCATCGTCAACGAGCATTTTTCTAATATATACTTATATATATATATGTATATATACCTAATCCTAATCGTTATTTACAGCGGTATTTAAATCGTTACAATTCATTGTCAAATATACAATTTTCCAGATTATTTTTCTCTTTTCATTCAGAAACATTCGACAAATAAATTATCTCACATCAGATGAATGAGATATAAGATGTTTACATCTTATTAAAGATTTACATTTACATACAATATTATCCTCAGTTGACTAGATCAGGGGTCGGCAACCTGCGGC